AGCCAAAAATGACACCCACACATTCAGTTAGGCCGCCATTAGCAAACAGATAGGTGTGTTAAGCTAAATGGGGTCAGATGAGAAAGAGATGACTTTTGTGGCTGAAATTTTAACTGGTCAGTTGTATTGACTGTGATTTAAGTGACTTTAATGCAAACAATAATTTTGCCTAAAATTCTATTTGCCACATGTAGTGCGTGAAAAGAATAGCCTTCATTTCGATCGAATAGCGTCTTTCAAGGTTCGCATGAGATTATGAATGAAGTTGAAAAATTATATTTGTACCAGCGACTAAAATTAAGTAGGTTATTTCAGTCAGTAGAAAAAAAGGAACAGTCCAGCGCCTTCCTCTTGGTCAGCAGGCTGTATCGGAGATCGGAGAGACGAAAGCACACACTAAGAAAAAATGTCGATAATAAAAGCGATTATAATATCGATAGCAAAATTGATAAAAATATCGATATCAAAATCGGTAATAATATCGATAGCAAAATGGATAACAAAATCGGGAAAAATATCGATAACAAAATCTTTAAAAATATCGATAACAAAAGCGATGACAATATCGATAGAAAAATCGATAAAAATATCGATAATAAAACCGATCAAAATATCGATAACAAAAGCGATATCAATATCGATAGCAAAATCGATAAAAATATCGGTAACAAAACCGATAAAAACATTGATGACAAAATCGGTAGAAATATCGACAACAACCTCGATAGATATATCCATAAAAATCGATAATAATATCGATAGCAAAATCGCTAAAAATCGAAAAACCACCGATAACTAAATCGATAAAAAATATCGATAATTATATTGATAAATTCCGAAAATATCGATAACAAAATCTATAGTAATACCGGTAGCAAAATCGTTAACAGAATCAATAAAATTATCGATAACAAAACCGATAAAAATATGGACGACAAAACCGATTAAAATATCGACAACAAAATCTATAAAATTATCGATTACAAAATCGATAACTAAATCGATAAAAAATATCCATAGCCACAACCCTGACCTGGGTGACCCCACAGCAATAGATATTATAAACTTGTCAATTTTTTGGATTGCCAAATAAACTATAAACCTTATGCGGTATACGAAAGGACTCGTATTCCAAGTAAGTTTCACAAAGGACTACCGGCCAATTAACCTAACCTACATCTTCTTCGGCACTACAACCGTTTGTCGGTTTGCACCAGTCGCCTCTCTACCTTGCGAATCGGCGCCAATCGTTCATCCCGAGTGCAGACAGGTCCTTCCGTACTTGGTTCTTCCATTGCCATGGGTGTCAAGTCGAAGTATCTTTTCACCGGAACCCCGTTATCCATACGTTCAATATGGCCCAGCGAGCGCAATCGTTGTGTTTTTACGCTTAACTTTTTCGATATCGTTAAAAAGCTCTTACAGCTCATCTTCTTCGGTAACCGTCGTCCACTCGAACAGGGCTGTAGAGTTTCCGTTTAGAAGTTTCCTTGAAAGCAACCAAAGCCATCTCACCTTTATTCGACATCGTCCACATTTATTTGGATTGTTGTTCATCGCAGAGGGCTCCGCTTTTTTAACTACCTACCGAACCCAAAGTGGCACCTTTTTTTAAGAGTTATACTTCACTTGATTTCCAGGCTGACGTTATTGGTGGTGTTTATGTTAGATCCTTAGTAAACAAATTGCCAAAAATAACGTCTCTCCCAAAACATGTGTACGCTTTATGTGTTGCCAGGAAGTACTTTGTCTTGTCCTTATTCAGTTTTTGTTACGCTATCCAGCATCAGATTGAAAAAGTCGTACGAGAGTCTTGTCTCAAACGGCGCAGAGAGGTATCTCTCAATTTGAACTGAGTTGATGGTGGTGCTCCAGGTCATTCTACATAGTTGTATTAATTTTGCAGGAATCGGAAATTTAGGCAAGGGGTCGTACAGGCAGATTCTCTCCGTACTGTGAAAAGAAGCTTTACAATCGAAAAAAGTTGGTGTGTGTCCATTTGCATATCTAGTGTCCTCTCCAGGGTTTGACGTTTTATGTAAATCTGGTCAATGATGGACTTACCAGATCTGAAGCCACACAGGTCCAATCAGTTACGTATTTTCTGTCATTGAACAGGTGGGAATGCAGAAAGCTTTTGGGTTGCCATTCGGACGGTTCTTGTGGTACAAAAACAAGAAAGTAATTGGAATATTTAAATGACGACCCTATTTGTTTTTCCTGCCTTGAAGAGATGGCGAAATTCTTTTTTCGTGTGTTTCCGGTATACTTATGGTTTACATAGGGATTTGAGCGCCTTAACACCCTACCATACTATCTATCCATATTTTTTCGTAGACTAAATCGGCTGTCTATCAATCGTTTTCGGCAAGTCGACCAATGGCAGGCCCAGTAAGCATGCTGCTGAAGATAATGTTAGCAAATGGGTTTAAGCAGATAAATTAAGAGTTGGTTGGCGTCATGCGAAGCAGATTTAGAAGTTGGTCAGCATTGGGTATGTCGGGATCCAAGTCTGAACAGCAAGTTGTTCAACATACTACAATATCCAATTCGTAATGCACCAGAGTTACACGGGTCTCTCGAGGCAGCTGAATCGTTTCGTCTGCAAAGTTAGTGAAAGTGGTTATGGTGGGTGTAGTTTATTTACTGTCTAGTTGTACAACTTCGTGTACATTGGTTTTGTGATCTAGGTATCTCTGCATCTCATCCGTGAGTTCATAGCGGCAGTTTCTGACATGATATATGTACCTTCTGACGTAACAAGGTACAAATCTGTAGCTTCATCCACTGTGGCCTACTAGTCTCCGGCGACTGAACTAGCACGACTTAGTTTAGAACCAGCCGACTATTTACCGACCTGAGAACTTAGCTGTGGCTCTGAATTTTATTGGCGATTAGGGTTATGTGCGCGAATAAAGGAAAGAAACTGTCATAAATGTAGTAGATCAGTGAAACTCACTACGATGGCTCTAGAGTACTGATGACAGATCACTAAGAGAATTTGCCGTCCAAAATTTTAGTCCTGTATGAAGAAAGGATGTATCGATGTCGTCTAGAAGCTTGGATTAACGAACCGTCCGGGAGTCTGTCGTGGCGCCACACTTTCACGCTAACGATTTGTATTTCAAGTTTGTGTTTTTTTACCTACTTTATTTTAGTCCACAGTCAGTTATTTCTTTATCGATTAGTTTGATTTTCCCTCCCATCATTCACACCTTATGCCACAGCATCACTTACCCAACGGATATTTGCACCACTCCTCGCTGTGCGTATCATTTTCATTGCTATTATCCGCAGCACGCAACACCGAGTTCACCACAATATTATTCGTATCATGCGTGTAGACATGGCAATTCTTCACCACAGTCTCACCGCTGTCTGTCCTCTGGGTGAGGCATAAGTGTGGTGGCTCCACGTAGATCTTCGTAGGCGTACCTTCACCAACATCCCGGGCAGCGCGACCAGCACGTTGTTGTTGCTGTTGCACCTCTGCGCTCAACAGCTCACCGCCATACTCAGCTGAGCCGCCAGCAATTGCGCGTCTTCTGCGATAAGTCTCCGTTGAGGTGGCCACCGATTCATCTTCATAATCAAACTCGGAGCTATGCTCGGTAGAGGGTAGCGGTGTGGGCACACCTTCAAACCATGGCGTGTACATATTCTCGTACTTGGTGGGATCCTGGCAGGTGTAGGTGCAGCGTGTCAAATTCACATTGCCCACTTTGCCCTTCCAATGATGACAGGTGGCCTCTTTGGAACAACGCTCTTGAAATATAACAGCGCCATGTGAATCACAACCGAAGCTGACCAATGGCCGACGCGCTTCCTCACGCTGCACTTCGGATATGGCAAAGAGGCAGGCGTACACAATTACGGCCAGTATCAGGAAGAGGGCGGTGAGGAAGCGTAGAATACGGCCGAAATTGGTGGCATTCTTGGCCGCAAGCCGATCGGCGAGCGGACCGGCAATCAGTGGGCCCAGTATTGAGACAAATGGCGCGATGATGCTGATTCGGCGATATTCGCTGAAATTCAAGCCAAGCAGGAGTGGTTTGGTGGCGTGCAGCACATGAAGCGCGGTGATGCCTGCGGAGTGAGAGAGGTGAATTAAATTTGTTTCAAATTTGATAAGAGCTCTTGTTCAGAGTACTCACCGCTGATGACAAAGAACACCACCACTTTGAGCGAGATGAGACTTCTATTGATGCGTGGCTTATCGCGTGTTGCACCCATTTTTTTTTTTTTTTTGACTAAAAGGCTACCTTGGGCTTATAATTAAATTTTTTAAACAAAACTTAAACTAAGAAAATGTAGTGGGTTTTGGTAGGTAGTAGGGTTCACAGGCTGGTTAACAGCGTTTTTGAGTACTTTGGATTGGCAGGATCCGTTAGTTGTTGTTTTAGGCAAACAGCAGTCAAAATGCTCCGGAAGCAAATTTTCATTGACGGATTTCGTTCATTGTTTCATCTTCGTAGTCGTTCGTATTCTTGCGTGGCGCACTATCTGCAAAGTGAAAAAAGGGAAGGAATTAGTAATAGTAAAGGTAATAAGAAAAACGTTTTCATATGGACAGGTTATATTTATTTCATTATTAGCAGCTAATTTTTGTCTACGAATTCTGTTTAGAGGAGTACTAATTAACACCAATTTTATGGCTTGCCATCACCAAACGTTTGATTTTTAATGGCTACATTTTTTATTCATTACAAAGTCAGTTACTCAAAATGAATTCATTTGCCAACACCTGCTTTTATTGCGTATTTATTTTATTTAATTAACAAGCAACAATACAAAAACAAATTAAACAAATTTATATGCAGGACAGCATTCCGTGAAATGTTATTGCAGGTGACAAAGCAAAAAATTAAAAAGAAAATATTTTTTTATTGAGCAGTTAATAAATCATAATCACATTTTTACAGTCTAAAGTTCCTTAAAGGGATGAAAGGCAGTGACTCAAAATTACGCGATTTATAAAATTTTTTCCTTAACCGTTTAAGACCTTTACGAAAAAAACTGAGGTAGAATGTTTTTTATGTTTTTTTTTTTACATTTTAGGACATAAATAAAACATTGTTTTTAATTTCTTTTATTAGTTTCTTATTTCTGTAATTTTTTATATCCCACAAATATTATAAATGTGAAAGAGTTTTGAAGAAAGTCGCCGCTTTAACAAAAGTTATAGTCAATTAATTAAAAGTTAAGTAAAAAATTACAACAACGTGGGTTTGAAACGAAAGATGGAAAGATAAAGCTCTAAAACGTTTTATTCCGAAATAACTTTGAAGAGGGTTGCCACCTGTTAAAAGTGCGGAAATAAATTTAATCAACAAGTTTAATTAAATATTTTTATCTGAGTAGCAAACGAGAAAATTTCAAGAAAGCTTAATTTCGAAAATGATTTTTTAGAGGGTTGCCAGCTGTTTAAAACTTCAAAATCAACCTTATCACCAAGCCAAAGGAAATACTTTATATGAAAATCAAGTCAACGAGAAGTCTAAAAAATTTTTCTTTCGAAAATATTCTTTAAGAGGGCTGCCACCTGTTTGGAAACTTAAGATCAAATAATTAACAAGTTAAATGAAATATTTTAATAGTGGTGTCAAACGAAAGAGGTTTAAGAGCGCTTTATTTCTTGAATATTTTTAAAGGGGGTTGCCACGTTTTTAGAAATTCAAAACCAATTTAATTAACAACATATATTTTAAAATGGGTATAAAACGAGAGGTTTAAGGAAGATTTATTTTGGAAAATTTGTGACCAAGGTTGCCACCAGGTATTTTAAAAAGGTGTGTCAAACGAAAGAGGTTTAAGAAAGCTTTATTTTTAATATATTTTTGAATAGCGTTGCCACCTATTTAGAAATTTAAAATCAACTCAATTAATAAAGTAAACGAAATTTTTTAATAGGGTTTCAAAGGGAGAGCGTTTTAAGTAGTTTTTTTTTTCTAAAATATAAAATAGTATTTATAATAACATTTTTGGCGCTTACACTTTTGCTAAGTGTTTGGCCGAGCTTCTCTGCCAAGTTATAGTGTGCGTTCTAATGTTGTAACACAAATGGAGGGATCGAAGGGCTAATGGTTTTCATGTTAAGTATTTTCAGGGCAAAAATTAACTCAGTGGTTTGCTACTGCCTGCCGAGGGGCGATGCTGTTAGAAAAAATTGTTTGTCTTTATTTCGGCAACTTGGTCTTCATTGAAACCAAGTGCCTTTCCCTGTTATGGTGGCGGCTTAAAATAATCCGGACAATGGGCATAAAAAGTAAGTGCTGTCTCAGACTCAATATCGTAATTACAAAAAAAAAAAAAAAAATTACGTAACTCGAAAGAGTTGTTGGCTAGTTTCACCATCACTTTAATTTTTAAGGTCTATCTAACATCGCAAGCTATAATTAGAGACGTTCAGCCGTTTGCTCGGTAAACAGTACTCCATTATTTAGCTGAATCGTACCGGAGAGCATCATACACTTAGAGCAGAGTAAAAACGAGGAAGGCTGAGATTAAAGATAAGAAATCAAAAATCGGGTTGTATGTATATTTGATGGCAAGCGGTCAATCAGTTAGGAAATACCAACCCCATCTAATCGAATTTTAAATTATTTTTGTAGGAAAATTTTTTTTGAGGTAGCACTGGCTGGAAGTGGAGTCTAGGTGGGATGGTAATTTCAAATTTGAAATGCTTCATTGTCGTCCTAAAATTGGCAAACGTAATTTAAGCATACCTAAGTATTCTTATACTATGTACACATTTTAAACTAACTTTTTAAACATTATTTTAAAATGTCAGCTACCTCTCACAACTTCCAATATGCATTTTTTCGAAATAGTTGCGGATTTTGGACGACCACGATAGCACAGTGCCATAAAGGGGATTTAGTTTTATCTCTGAAATTATATCAGCTTTTATGAGTCTTTGAGCTTTTAAATTTGTATACTTCTTGAATTTATGTATGTATAAGTTTACTTAAGCAGTATTTTGTAGCGGTAGCGGTATTTATGTCTCTAATAATATCAACCTACCAACCACAAAGGTTATTCAAGCCCACCCAACATTTGCCTTCCACCCATACCACAATATTACGGAAATGGCCTTTATTTCCGTTGCAACGACTAAGTAATCCAAGACTTCATTAAAACATTAAGTACGCCCCGCCAAATACAGACAAGTGGCTTAGTTGCGGTTATAGTATTGCATTTAATAACAGCAGCTTTAAATTATTATTTACTCAATTTAACAACACCTGTAGTGGCAATGGTTGTAGGCAAACGTCGGCAGCAACTCACCATACATAAGTGTAAGTACATATATCAATAGTGATTGCTGTTGTTGTTTTAATAGCAGCCACATTTAGTTGTCTTGCATAGCTAATGACATTGTAAAACCAAACTCATCAAATACATATATATGTATGTGGGGTAATGCATTCGGTGTAGGGTTTCTTGTGTGCATGATTTCGATTGTCTGTGTTTGCTTGCAGGTGTGTGTACACACAAGCGCATTAAGTCAAGCATAAAGTAAACTAATACTGCACGGCTAGACAAGCTGTCGATTTGGTTAAATGGTGAGTGGTTAAACAAACTCTATATTTAGTGGATTAGTGGATTAGCGGATTAATATGGAATATGGAATTGAGGTGTGCATAAATTTTAATTTATTCCAAAAATAGTGAGGCTGCTTTTGTTATGAAATTATATATAAATAAATAGGGTGTACGTGTGTGTCTGTCTGCATAACTACATAGTTGTAAACTGTTTATTATAAGGTCAGTAAATTAAATTGCGGTTTACGTTATATTATTTGCATTTGGAGAGATTGGCTAATTTATGCATATTATTAGCAATATTTGGAACTGCATATTTATCACCTCACAGTAAAATCGTGGAGCTGAGCGAATGACTGCAACATTGCCGAAATCAGGAACTATTTTCTGTTTATCTCTGCTTACACTGGCATCACTAAGGCATCAGCGTAGCCATAATCGCGATGGTTTTTAGGTCGATTTCGAAAACACTTTTCAATATCTATATATACATATAATCTATATATATAAAACGCAAAAGGGTTTTTTTGTCCAGGATAAAAGATCTGCACCGTTCGCTTGATTTTCAAAATTATGGTGTCATATGGTTTATTTTTTAGAAAATAGTTGCCATCTGTCGAACAATTAAATTCAATTTATTTACAATCAATGGCATGTCATCGTGTCCGCACCGTTCGTTCGATTTTCCTAAATGAAGTGTCAAATAAAAGGCTTGGACTCCAGCTGTGCAATCACTTTCACTTTTTTGAAAACGGTTACCTAATACTATTTTTGAGGTTATGGAAGAGGGTTGTCACCTGTTTAAAAAGTTAAATTCAAATTATTAAATAAGTTAAATAAAGTATTAAATAGGGGTATCAATCATAGGGAGTTGGAAAAATCGTTATTTCTGGACTATATTTAGCGGGGTAGCAACATGTTTAAAAATCAAATACAACTTAATTCATTAATTAATCACTCGCAGTGTCCTTAAGGATATTTAAGGATGTCTTAGCGCGAAATTACTATTGAAGAGGCTTGCCACATATTTAAAAGTCGAATTTAATTCACTTTTACGCAAGTTATTTGAAATATGAACACTCGCGTGTCAAGCGGAAGAATGTGAAGAGAACTTTATTTTGAACACTTAGAATCTTTGAAGAGGGCTGCCACGTGTTTGTAAAGTGACATTCAAATTATTTAATAAGTTTAAAGATTTACTAAAGGAGGGTTATCATCGAAATCAGTTTCAAAAGGCCTTACTTCTGAAATATATTTAGGAGGGTTGCCACCTGTTTGGAAATTCCAACTCAGCTTAAATTAAGGCAGTTACATAATTACATACATATGTATCAAAATTTGGGTGTCAGACGAAAGAGATTGAAAATATTTTGAAAATGTCGAATTAAGTTAACTTATACACAAGGTATATGAAATATTAAAATATTGTCTTCAAACAAAAAATCTTTAGTTTGAACACAAGAAATATTGTTAGGCGTTTGTGTTTCCACCTGTTTAAAATTTAAATTATTTAAAAAGTTAAATGTATTTTTAAAAAATGAGTGTTAATCGAAATGGTTTTGAAAAGGCTTTCAGGCAGATTCTGCAATTCACTTCCACGGGACTTTCAACGAAATTCGCCTCGAATTCAAATTGAGCTTTGTAGAAGTTCATTCGGAAGTAAACTTCAGAACCTTCCTCTTTATTTCCGAAATATGAGGGGTCAAAATAACGATCTTAGTTAGAAACTTTTTGTCGGTACAAGGTGGTTTAAAATTTGGTCATATTAAAAACCGACTATGCGAGACGTCTCTTCACTCAGAAACGGCTACACGGATTTAGATGAAATACATATGACCTTTTCACAGTGTTCGTGAATGAGGTATCCAAACACTTGGTTTGTTAAGCGCTTCAACTTTGGCTTGTCGCATGGTAATTAGCACAAACGAGAGGATATTTCAATTTGTCTATTAGACTAAGTATTCTTAAATAGGTATTCACCATACCAAATTGCGCTCAGCAGCAGGTCCTATCGTTGGGCTTCGGCTTCTAGTGGCGCAGCTGGTATTTCATCGGCTTCCAGTCAGGTCAGTAGCAGAGTGTTAAGTGTATGCTGGATGGCTATTACCAGATTACCATATTCGTTTCTATAGGAACCAGCCTTGTTCTTGAAACTTGTTGATTTCATCTTTATTTTAATTTTCGGGTCACATTTTTGCCTACCACCATCCCAAGCTCTACACACTCCCATTTTTCTGCTTCTCTCTTCTTCCCAAACTCAAATCTTAAACCTCACCTGTGCGTAATCTCATATTAGCTGAATTTTTTGTATTGTGCTGATGTTCGACTTGCATTGTTCGAGTAGGTTCAGCTGTGCATACGAATAAATTCAGATCGTACCTTTTGTTCAGAAAGTAAATAGGAGTCGTCAAAGTTGGGGGCGATAACATCCGCGGCACTTTTGGTGCTTCCCTGAAAAATCAATGCGGTGGATGTTCACTACAGTGAGCCCTTAAACTGAAGAAATGGGAGAGGTTAAACTAATACTCCCTCTCTTTCTACCGTGTCGCTGGTTCTATAAAAATTAATTACTTAGGGTTAATTGCCCCAAAGTAAGCAAACGAGTACGCAAGAGTTGTGATGGAGTATAGTCGACTGCGTACTCCGTTTCGTTCTCTATTTCCGTTCCGTTTTCTATTGGTATGAAAATTTACCGCAATATTGGTATGCCCACTTGGAGTGACAGGTCGATCTCAATTCATACAATTTATTAGTCACTTAGCTGTCATCCATATTTTATTGTACATGCATTCATTACTTATTTATTTTCATTGCGAGTTTACAGTTATTTAGATCAGTAGTGTCGCTGATGATGATGACATAATTTGTATGTATATGCAAAAAGGTGTCAGTGTCAATTTAATTACACAATTTAACAAACAAGGAGAAACAGTGAAATATATGTATATAAATCGAAATGAAAATATGTACGTATATGTAGATTGATGTGGCCCCAGAGAGCGAATGAATGTGTATAGATATAAATTGAAAATGTAGCGCCAATAAAATATTCTAAATAAAAACTACACACTTACATACATATCAAGATGTGTATGTATGCATGTATGTATGTGCAGAGCTATTAATGAATTTATTATACCACACAATGAGATGATATACTTTTATTTGCTCATCTCCCAGCACTTATTATGCATTTACTAATAACTATCTATCAATTCAATTGATGATAATATATGTATGTATGCATGTAGCTCAACTGACAATCGCAATATGTTGTCAAATGCACAAATAAATATACAAATTTGTAAATATACAAAATTTATACATATGGGGTATTCCATCGTCTCGGGTGGGACATTTGTAAAGAAAAAGTTTTCTTTCTTTTCTAAAATAAACTATAAGGTACTCAGCAATTATGCGTTTCTATTAAGCTACACCTAATGCATACACTAATATAAGAGTTATTACCAAACACGAAAAAAATTAGTTTTATATGGAAAAATTCGGAGTTATTTCTTTTGTCAAGGGTGGGACAAAAAAAGATATTGCTTTTTGGAGCACATTTATTTTACGAAAAAAAAACAAGTTGCAGTAGATTTTAAACAGGTCGTAATCCTCTTAAAAAAATATTATAAAAGTTAGTCATAGTTATAAGCGATCCATTTGCTAATTTCATCAAAATCCGGCCAGCCGATTCTGACTAGAGAGAAGAATCGCATAGTTCGGTTTCTTTAACTCTAAATCACCATGTACCAATAAAAAAAAGTTTCAACTTCAAAATATAAAGCTTTAAGAAATAAGACTTTCGGTATAGATGGCAACTTATCAAAAGTATTTTCAAACTAAAGCTTTCAGAAAGCTTTTTATATTGACACTCATATTTAAATATATCATATACAAATGTTGAGTAAAAGTTACATAAATTCGAACCTTTAAACAGGTGGCAAGTCTTTTCAAAAGTATTTTCAAACCAAAATTTGCTTATATCTCTTTCGTTTGATACTGGAATGCTTTTTCCAATTAACTGACGAATTAGTTGAATTTTATTTTTCAAATACGTGGAAACCCTTCTAAGTATAGTTTTGAAATAAAACTTTGCCAAACCCGTTACGATTGACACCCACATTTTAGTAATTCATTTATCATATTAAATAATTTGAACCGGTGGCAACCCTCTTCAAATACCTCGAAAATATTCTTCAAATTAAAGACTTCTTATCACTCTTTTGTTTAACGCCCACATTTTCATATTTCATATACGTAGCTTGTGCATAATATGATAAAATTCAACTTTTCAAACCGGTGGCAACCCTGTTCAAAATATTTTTAAAACTAAAACCTTCTTAAACCTCTTTCGTCTGACACCCATACTGTGATACATACATATTTTAATAACCTAATTTCCACAATTCAAGTGTAAATTTTTATTTTTTAAACCCTCCTAAATATTGTTTGGTAATAAAGCCCATCAAACTCATTTCGTTTGATAGCCATCTTTAAATTATTCATTTAACTTTTTAAATAATTTGAATGTAACTTTTTACATAGCTGGCAACTGTTTTAAAACACCTCAAAAAAGTTCCAAATATTCAAACTGAGATTTCTTTCGAACGATTTATTTACCAATTAAAAATAATTATAATTTTGTAAACACATGATATTGCAGAGCCTTCTTTATTAAAATATAAATCGTATTCAATTAAATAGTTTTTAATGCTTAAATGTTTAATGTATCTGCAGTGTAATAAAATAATATAACCAAACTTGTTCTTCGAAATTTTTAATATTTAGTGCGGATTCATCAAGCCTTCCATATTCAATATCTAGTTAGGAACCTTATAATTGGATGGACTTACTCATGGAATACCCCAAATGTACATATAAAAAATTATACATATTATATACATATGTATCTATGTATATATCAGATGTGATCTACCTTAATGACAGTTGATAATTATGTTTATTGTTTTTGTTGTTGTAGCGGCAATATTCACTTTGCTGTCGCCATCCAACGCCTAGGCACGTACTAGGCGTGTCCGCCAATGCGTTTGTCAACCACCACCAACACGTCGACGACTTGTTGCCATAAATCACTGACTCGAATGCGATTTCATTTGCTTGTAAATAAGCTTGCGAGTGCAGCACAATTAACGCCGGCAAAAACAAAAAAGGACAGCATTTGTCTTTTGTAAAATTAATTCAATAAACACAATTATAAGCAATGTGCACATTGCTGGCAGCAGAAATGCATTGCTACTGTTCATAGTTGCCAGTGTGCTGCTGGGTGCAGGGAGTACAGTTGCAACACTACACAATTCACAATAGTAGAAGGCTAGTAGTCGCTGGTGTTGCAAGTAGCATTAAATAAAAGATTAAAAAAAACAAAGTCTTCGTACGTAGGTACCTTAAGCGAACATGCAGACATACAAAAGTAAGTAAAAGCGCATAAATAACAATTTCAATTATTGTCTTTGACTTTTTTTTTTTGAAATTTTTATAATCGCATTTTATTCATGTTTTTTCCCTCTTTTATTTTCTTATTAAGTCGCTTTGTCCGCCATTGTGGAAAGTGTCAATGTGCGCTTGAGTTGTCTGCTAAACTTTTTCCACTTATGGTTAATTTAATAATGGCATTTGTAGTGGCTGACATGAATTAAGCGAAGAGACATAAGTGGAAGAATTTAATTATGTGGCGACTTTTATATTTGTGTGTATGAATGTGTAACTGAAAAGTTCATATGTAGAAAAAAATCATTTGTGGATGACATTAGTAAAATAAATTGTTTAAATTTTTTGTGAAAAAAATATCAGTAACAGACCGTCTAAGTATGTGCACAGAAAATATATTAAATTTAATTTTATTTGCATGCCCTTAAATATAATTAATATGGCAACCCTTTCGCGGGTGGAAGCATATGTACGCAAATAGTATTATGCAAATATCATCTTTTTATTTACACAAAAATACACACATACACAGGGTGTCCTAGACCACCCATCCACCTCCTCTAAAATGTAGGGAAATGCTTTTTATTGAAAAACGCAAAAATTTTACCTACCAAATCGGGGGTAGAGCATCCCCCATTTCGACCCATAGGATTTTCCGCATTTCTTGTCAAAATTTGATTTGGAGACCAAGCTGTTTCGGCGTTGTGCCATCTTCAGTGACGTTGCATACCTTACATATTTTTTTTTTTCTACTAGAGCTCAATAGTAGTAAAGAAAGTGGTTGTTGTAAGTTGTTTATTTTTTGACATCCCTAGGTTAGGTTAAGTCAGGCGGGCTTTTTTTGTCAACACTTAACTCGGTGGCCACAGTGACCCATAGGAGAAAACTTCTCTAAATACCTATCCTATCATGTTCCTTAATTACTTTGGTCTTTGCAAGAAGAGGCTTAAGCCATTCAGTTCTTCTTTAGAAATCGTTATAACCAACTTCGACCCTGACACAGATCTGATCTGTTCAGTTTATTGCCCCGCTAATAGTACCTTAAAAATCTTTATATTCTTCTCATCGAGGGATGGCCAGGGCCTTCGAAGCGGTTACCTTCAATGTGTACCCAAGTCTTATAGCAGATCCTGTCCTTGCACACTCTTTCGATAGAAACGTTTTTCACCTTAAAACGGCACCAATAGACAGTGAATAAATAAAAAATACACAAAGAACTTATGCCACGAACTTGACTACAAATTAAATTCGGCCAACATATTAAAGCATTAAGCTGTTAACCAAGCGCATAGAACCGGTAATCATACATAACACCTTCGTAGCAGATCAACAGCAATAATGAGATATTTAATGAGCAATTTTTAATGCATCGAAAATAATAACGTCATCGTTAATGGAACATATGTCCATACATATACATACATAAGTAGCATGAGTAATACGTACAACAACAGCAACAACAATTCACCATAAATGTTGTAATAATCTGTAGTGTAAAGCATCAAATAATACATATGTCATACTAACAACAATACTAATAACAATAACAATAACAATACTTGCAATAACGCGTACGAATTTTAATATGCATATAAACACACACATATACACATACATATGTAGTATAAACGTTTATATATTGACGTTGAAATCACATCATCAGCGGA